TCGTTAACGAGAAAAGCTAATAGCGTGATCTAGTTCTACTTTCTCTCTTCTTCACTCGTTCCTATAAGTAATAAACTAATGTTGAACATGAGAAGAAAAGAAGAAAAAAAAAAATCGCACAAAAAGAAATAGATGTGACGGTGATGATTCGACATCGTATGCACCGAACTTTCTTCCCCAGATAGACCATTGTATTGTAATAGAAAAAGACGTAGCATTCTACTGCATGCTGTCATCATTTTCTTCTCCAGGATAGGCTTTGTTTTATTCATATTTCCTAGGCTTTATTGTCTGTCATGACTTATTATTGAAGTCGGTAAAGAAAAAGAAGAAGAAGAAGAAGAAGAAGAAGGAAAGATCTTCTTTATTAACTGTCTTGTCATATAAGATAAGCGAAACATAACTGAACAAGTCATAGTTAACATCATGCTATCATTATCATATTGTACTAGTTAATAGAAGTGCAACTCACAATTGAGTAGCACTTCGTTCTCTTTCTCTTCTTTAATATACTTGAACTTTTTAATTTTCTTTATATTGATATATTATTCAACGATAAAGATATTTTCTTTTTTGTTTTTTTAATTATTTATATAGATCAGATTAATTTTAACATCATGGATTCTCGAGGTCTTTATCAAAATACGAATGATTCTTATCATCAACAACAAGAATATGATCAAACAGAACTTTATGAATATAATAATGAACAAAATTCATCACGTATACGTCTTGGTAATTTATTTGGTTCAACATTATTACAAAAACCACCTGATGTATTTCGACGTACACCTAATTTACTTGATTCATTACCAACAAATATTAATCGTACGTTATTATTTGCAAAACTTTTTTATTTTTGGTATTTTGCTGCATTTGGTTCACTATTTCCACTTATGTCAATCTATTTTAAACAAATGGGTATGGGTCCATCATACTGTGGTATTCTCATGGGCTTTCGGTAAATAGAAATAGATTATTTAATTTCGTAAAATGATTTTGATTATGAATGAAAAGATGAAAAGAAATAACAAAAAAAAAATTGTCACTAATAGTATAATTCTCAGAACGAAAAAAAATCTAATGCAATACCAATCTTGATTTTTTTTTTGTCGTTCTATTGTAATTGCACCATCTCAATTTCTTTTCACTATGTATGAGTGTTTGAATATGTATTTGTTGGGGTCAGATTGGCCATGCAGTCCGGATACTTCGTTTATTTAACTACTTTTCATTGAAAGAATTCCTAGCACACAAACATCACTCCGGAAGCGCAATCTAGTCTAACTCTTTTTTGTTTTCTTCTCCTAATTAAAATAAATTAAAATCATTGTATTTAGACCATTTGTTGAATTTGTTTCGGCACCATTTTGGAGTGTTGTATCAACACGTTTTCGACAAGCAAAAAATATTTTACTTATGGCAATTCTATCATGGATTATTTTTACAGTTGCTATAGGTCTTATTAAACCACCTCCACATTCATGTTGGAGAGAAATGAATTCAACACATCAAATTATTGAACGTGTTGGTTATCCATCTAGTACAATAGTACCAACAATTAAATTAATTGTTAAAAGACAAATAACAAAATCACCAATAATTTCATTAAATAAAACAAAAGATATAATTTATAATCAAAATCAATTGAAAAATTCAACTATATCAACAAAAATAATTTTAACATCAACTAGACAACGAAAATTAACAATTAAAACAACAACTAAAACAATAACAACAACATTATCTTCAAATTTAATTGAAGAAGATGATGATATTGAAAATAGCGAGGAAGATTATCCAATTAATGAAAATAATCGTTTAACAACAGAAATTAATTATAAACAACGACAACAATTAAATTCAATAAATCTTTTACCTATTAATAAACCTAAAAAAACTATGGGTAATCCATTATCAATAACACATACAAATTTATCATTAGTTAAACCACTTGCATCATCTATACTCTATGATAAAAAAGATGTTCGCAATGTTTTCATGGTTTTTTTACTTCTTATTATTGTTGGTGAATTTTTTAGTGCACCAGCAATTACATTAGCTGTAAGTGAACATACTAAGAGTTAACAGTATGATACATTGCCGAAAAAAAAAACATGATCGTTTTTATATATGTCGAAGTATAGTTTTTGAATTTATTTGGGAAAAAACCCAACGAATCAAATGAATTCTATTTGAAAAATAATGATCATAATATATGATCAATAAAAATGACTTGTCACAGCATTGTATGTGTATATGAAAAGAAATGTTCGATAGGCATCAAGGACTCTTTAAAGAACAAATTGAATTTATTTTTCTTTATTTATTTGAAAAAAAATATATAATTATATTAGGTTTTTTTATTGAAATAACTGATCACTATTGTCGGATCCGTTACTTTGAAAACAAAATTTTCCTTATTATATATCTAATATAATGTGCATCATTGTATGAATTTCATTGATTTTATTTTTTTATGAATAACTCGTTTATTATATTATCTATAAAATTCTGAAGAAGAGCATTCATTATATCTAAAGTTTTAACCTAAATTGTGTACGTTAGATGAACTCTATAGACTATAGTTAGAAGTCATTGAGAACAATAATGTTTCCGCTTTGATCATTATGAGTAACCGGAAGCCTATTCACTACTATTTACATTCGTGCATTATTTTTTTTTTGTCTTTAAACGATGAAAGATTCGATTTATTATTATTTTAAAAAAGTTGAATAATAACTTTTTTCTTTTTTTTTTCTCTCTTAGGATGCTTGTACATTAGCTTATTTAGGTCAAGATACTGAATTATATGGACGTCAACGTATGTTTGGTAGTTTAGGTTGGGGTTTAGCTATATTTATTGTTGCTACTATTCTTGGTAATAAGAATAAGTAAATTAGATGACATTCAGTTAGATGAGGAGTTTTTTTTTCTCTAGATCAATCCAAATCACTTACATTTCATGCTTGTGGTACAAGTGGACCACTTGAAAAAAATTATACAGTTTGTTTTGCAGCATTTAGTGTTTGTATGACATTTGCATTAATAACTGCAACACGTTTTGAATTTTCTTATAATAACAATGAACAATTACCATTACGTACATTAAATGATGATTTAAAAAGAAAAATTTGTTCAACAACAACATCACAACATATTTATACAAATAAATATGATGAAGAACAAACAAATATTGATTCAATTAAACAAGAACAATATGTAACTTCAAATACATTTAAATTAATGCAAATTATTCAAATATTTATGTCATTTAAAAATGGTACATTTCTTTTTATAGCATGGTAAAAAGAAAAAAAAATATTTTTCAATTTTTATCTATCTCATATGTATAAATATTTGTTTTTTTTTTCTTTTTTCGAGGTGGATGGGATGTGGTGTTGGTCTTGTATTTACATTTCTTTTTTGGCATTTACAAGATCTTGGTGGATCACCAACACTTTTTGGTAATAGAATTTTTTTTTTTTTAATTAATTTTACCTTTAAAGAAAAAAACAAACTCTTGTAGGTGTTGCCTCGGTTATAAATCATACGAGTGAATTATTTGCTTATTTTTTCTTACATCAACTTATTCATCGTCTTGGTCATATAAAAATTCTTTTTTTGGGTTTATTAGGAAATTTTATTCGATTTTTTTATATATCAATTATAAGTAATCCATGGTGGGTTTTACCATTTGAATTTATACAAGGTAAATAGAATTTTTTTTTTTGTAAAAAAATAATTCATATAATTATATTTTAATTATTAAGGACTTACACATGCTGCTGTATGGGCAACAGCTTGTTCATATTTATCTCAAACAACACCAGAAAATTTTCGAATATCTTGTCAAGGTGTTCTTCAAGGTTTTCATTTTGGTTTTGGACGAGGTTGTGGAGCTTTATTTGGTGGTTTTTTTGCTTCTTCTTTCGGTATATTTTTATTAAAATTAATTCATTCATTTTGTTTTTTTTTTATTAAAATTATTTTAAAAGGTACTGATATAACATTTCGTGTTTATGGAATAATATCTTTAATTTTCATGGGTATTTTTATTTATCTTAATCGACATTATCAACAACAACAATTAAACATGAATGGTCAACGTTCAAGTCTCAATGTGGATGATCCACATGAATTTATTGGTAATTCTCCACGTCTTGCTCCACATGGTGCACCCGCTAATCCAAAATGGCAAACAAAATTTTCTTCAGGTTTAACAGCAGGTATTAAACAAGATCAATTATATTCATCTCCGATAATAACAGTAAAATCGGTAACTATTTATTTCTATAATTATACTGTTTTTCTCATTTTTTTTTTTTTTTTTCTTAATAATTATAGTTTAATAATCCGACAGCAACAACAACCGACAGTAATTATAATAATTATCATCATGGTTATTAAATAAACTTAAAATCTCGGTGTTTAACATTTCTTTTTTTGTTGTTTATTTATTTAATTTTTTTTCATACTTTTTATCCCTAATCAAATGTAGTGTTATAGAATAATATTTGTATTTGTTGCAATTCATATATAGTATTACCTTCGTTGAATGTATTTCATCATACATCCATTAAATATCGAATGAATTTTTTTTGTTTTTTCTTTTACATCATGATATGTATGAAATGACAGACAATTTCTCGTATATGTTTTTCATATAAGGTTCTAATAGATTAGCAAAATTGAAAATGAATCAAAAAATATCGTCTATGAATGAAGAAAAAAAAAAAATATTTATATTATTGTGATCAGATGTAAATTATTAGACGTCGTTGGATAAAATATAAAAGAAAAAAAATATTAGAAAGAAAGACGAAAGCAAATCATGCGCAACATGAATATGATAAACAAATCATTTTTTTTTTCTCTTGGACTCAACTGGTGCGTGAGAAACGACAGTAAATTATTTAAGGTAGCAGAAAAAAAAAGCACATAAATTTGTATTTTCTCTTATTCAAAAACATATTTGAATTGGGAATTAACTACACACGATGCAATATTATTATAGTCAATTATTTATATTATTTTTATGTATGATGATTATTATTAATGATGGTACCAATGGACTTAAAATACGACTACCATCTTTACGAATAACTTCGACATTTAGTAAAACAGGTGAATCTATTAAGAAGAAAGTTCCAATGAATAATAATAGAATTGATCATCCTGCTAAAAAAATACCATTAAAAGTTCCTGATATTGGAAAGAAAGATGACTTTTAATTTACGCATAATTCTTACAAATATAATTTTTAATATTTTATATCAAACTAAATTACCTACAAGAAATTATATGAATTAATGATGTGCGAATATCAATAAGATTATTATTAAATAACAACATACAACGGGTTATTTATTGGATAAATGAACATTATTAATATGACTGATTGTCAAAGAAAATAATCTAGCTATTTATTTTGTATATAAATTTTGACTAAAATTAAATTAGTAGATATTATAATAAAAATTCTTCTATAAGACATTAAAAAAGATTGTTTTGATTATGAATATTTTGGGAAGATTCGTTATGCAAAAATTCAATTGAATAAATCTTAGTAAACAAATATTTAAGATCTAAAGAAATTAATTGTAAAAGTAAACAGAATATGTAATTCAAAATCTAATTTTTTGTGCAAAGTTTGTAATACAATTTTCAATAAATTTGTATTTTCATAAGTCAATATTTTTATTTCTAATTCTGTCCGGATGTTGTCTTTTGTGTATCAGATAGAATTCTTTTTTCGTTTTAAAATTCAATCAAAATTCTTTCTATCGATAGTAGAGTATAATGAAAAAAATAATCTTGTCAAAATTGAATGGACCGTCTAGACCAGAGAAGTTTACTCCTTCAAGGTGAATCATTCGAAACTTTTGTCGGGTCGTCTGACCCACACTTTTTATTTCTTTTTGTTTAAGAACAATTACCTACGTAAGCAAACACAAAAAAACAATTGTATTTTCATCAAAATTTTTTACATGCTTTTTCACGCTTTGCAACTGATAACAATCAGGAATCTTGATTATCGAAACCTTTCGTAAATTTCATTTAGTCAATAAATAAAAGCAGAATATTTATTTGATTCAATAGTATTTTTCATCCACACATACAAAGTCAAGTGTACTATCAATTGCGTCAAATAGCATGAATATTATTGAAGTAGAACCAAAAAAATAGTAATCGATCTGACTCTTTGAAATTGATCAGTAAACATGTTATTCATGAGAGTTGATGCTACTAAATGGTAGTATTCAAGAAGTTGAAAAATCTATGAACGCATTTTGATCTTTCAGTATATGTTGTCTAATAAATCTTTGGAGAACTATAAGATGTCACTGAGTATACAAGTTTACTTCACTTTCTATGTACGCAAATCAATAAAATCACAAGAAAAAAATCATTCATGTAAACAGTCGTTTTTTTTTTGTTTATCTTTTGTAGTTGTCACCGTTTTTCGTCTTTAACGATTAGTTGTATACTTTGGACACGTATACTACAGAACGCAAGAGTATCTTACGTTTTTTTTTCTTCGTATTACTTTAATGCACACTTATCAAAAATAGTCAATCAACCAATCGCTCCTGATCATGGCGAAAGTATACATAGTAAAAGATAGATTCGCCTACATTACATAATAATCATGAAAAGGTTAAATCATTGATGCAAAACTAAATCAAACCTTTATATCAATAATTATACTCGGAAGAGCTGCAATTTCTCTTAGACTCGAAAACAAAGTTTAAATTTATTCTCGGATCCAGGTTCAGGACTTTAATTGTTTTCAGATGGTGGGAGTACAGGTTCAAAAAAACATGGGTGTGCAGTTTGATTTGACTATTTTCAATGATGAGTTTTGTTTATCAATTAACTGTTTAAATTCTTTTTGTTTTTTGATTAACATAATATTGTTTTCTACTAAATAAAAACTTTTAATTAATTAAGCATCACATTATGGTAAAGTGAACAATAAGAAATAACTAAACGTTGTTCCTTTACTTGCTTATATACACAAAGAATGTTAGATATTGATGGAAAAAGAACTCGGACTCGGCCGAGTCTACAAAACCGTCACTTCACAACTCCTTAAATGACACTCTTCTATTCACTCGTATTTCAATTTCATGGTTATGACTAAATTGATATCCTAGTTGTAATTAGATAAATACTAATGACATCTCTAATACCCTCCTATTTTCAACGTTTTTCAAGCAAAATAATTCATGACGATTAACATATGTATTTCATCAATTAGTATATTAAATTTCATATTCTTTTAGATTAATTATCTTAAGTAAGATATTGTTTCTTTGATAAGTTCAAAATGTCGATTGGAATCTTACAAGAAACGGAAAATCATATTGTTCCAATAGAATCTGTATCATCTGAAGTCTATCATAATAAATTAATAAAAGCTGAAAAAGATAATATGAATTGTCAATGATTGAATGTACCTGTAACATATTATGATGGACGACAAGTATAACTTGTACGTGGATCAAAAAAAGAATTTTTGATCTTTCTTGATATTCTCAAGATAAAAAAAAAGAAATTCAATACGTATATGAATTAGATCCTATGCTTTTGTTTTCCTAAGAATGTACCAATATTTAAAACTATGTGTGGTCATGGAGAGTTTTCCAATGCTCTCAAAATAACTAAAAACTTCTCGATTAATCATGATATATTGAAACGATAATCGTAGACTGAAATGTGATAAATCGTCGATGATTTTGATCATTTTTGTGAGACATCATAGTTTTATGATTGATGATTATCCTTCATTATATCAATAATAGAAGTGATACTGATTACATTACCTCGATTTCTACTATTGTACTGAGAAGCTTCTATTATTAACTTATGATGATGAATATTATTATTTAAAAATTGACTGCTTACTTTATTCAACATGAATGCGATATGTAATTTTAAAAACAAAGTTGATGCAACATGTAATTCTACATAGTTAAACGAGAACATATTGGCAAAAGAGAGAAAAAAGACGTTCATATTGATATTTTGAATTGGATTTTTCTCTGAAGTCATTTCATGTATATCCGTTATTGTTAATAATTTAAATGTCTAAAACAGACGAAGAAGTCAAAATCATTATTAAAAAATGGGACTGAAAGGATGATTATAGAAAGACAAAACTATATCTAAAAATAGAAAAATTCTAATTGAAAAATAACTTGATTACAAAATTCATCTGAAATTATCTGATTATCACAAATCCCTTTTGATGTGAAGGAATGGGAATATGAAGTTCAATACGAACGTTTTCTATAATCGTTCAATCTAGTAAATGTCATAATAATGACATCGATGCTGAAACTAAATTTTTTCTTTTGATTTTACACCCTCTATAATTATCAGTAAAAAACATATTCGGCTCTCAATTTTACAGACTTGGAATATTTCTCTAATTAAATCCAACTTTGTAATCGATTAATGAAATCAGTGATTAAATTCGATTCATCATCGATTCTTGAAAAATCGTTTCTTGTGTCATAATTCGTATTTGAATAGAAAACACTTTCTGCAATCGTGAACCAAAAGTCGTAAACACTACCCTCGGTTCTTAAGAGTACTACAAACATATAGCATGGGTAGACATATATGGGACCAAGTTTTTTTTTTTGAATAGTCACGGTGAATCTGATATGTCCCCTGATTCCGCATATATCCATTAAAGTGCAACAGTTACGGAAAAAAGAAAACGATTAGCAACTGAGAAAAATTGTGTTTTTAAATAAAAAAAATTAGCTTATTTAAAATGATTTTGTGAATCAAATCAGAAGAAATAGTTTCTCGATCAATTATTCCAAGTAAATGTGTATTATCAATGGATTTATCACAGTCATATTCACAAACCGAACAAAAAAAAGGACAATTGTCTAAAGATGACGAAGCAATGTCCACTGCGTAAGATAAATCAATAAAATCAGACAATGACATGTTCATGACCATAAAACTATTTATTATTTTTTAATATAAGCGCATATATAATTGTGATTTGTTTATTGATTAAAATTTAATATTTATAGATTTTATTTGTATTTATGTCGTCTTATTGATCATGATATAGTTTTTTTTTGTATGACACAATATTAGTATGAAAAAAAATAATAATAAATTGATTTTATAATGTACGAAAAATTTTACTAGAAAAATCATAGAATCAAGGATATATCGATAATATTCGAGAAAAGAATTGATTTATTAAGTGAAATTATGTTTTTTTTTTAATTTATCGTTCTTATTAATCATTGTCTAATAATTAAATTATATAATTATTTGATAATATATGATTTTCTTCCATAGAAAAGACAGTTTTACAAGATGATTGATTCAGATTAGTTAGATTGCATGATTTATATGTGCGTATTATAATAGCAAATTTCATGAAACTATATAAATTCTAAGGATTATTATAGCAATATGACATTTGCTAATTGTTCGTTCATATTTTTCTTTTCTTGGACAAAATTTTTTGTGTTCATTTGATCTTTTGCTTTTCTTTTTTTTATACTTTAACAAATGAAACAGATAAGTCGTATTCATGTTTATATTGACTTGTCACATTCGTCAAATCTATTGTTCTTTTGATATTCATTCATTGATGCATTATAATATATGAAATATGTCATATTGTATTAGCTTAATGTACCGCTTTATGTCATCGTAATAAATCAAGCTGAAAATCGGTTTATGAGATTTAAAAATTAATCAGTTGTATGTTTACTTGTCTGTCAAGGAAGAAAATAATTGTGAAAATAAAATTATCTAATAGATAGCAAAAGTTTTTTTAGTAGTATCTAATGAGTATAATTTTAAAAAGAAACAAATATTTAAAAAAAATACACCAAAAAGTCATTATTGATTTGTATCTTTACTGTGAAGTTTACAGCAATGAAATTCTTCACCTATAGACTGAAAAAAAAAAGAATTATTCTATTGAAATCGCGCCCTCTGTTTGTTCCTTTTACACTATTGGACTTTTTCATTGAGCCATTTATGTTATTGTTTCCCTTCTGTTTGTCTCAGTCTACCATGGTTTCCGTTTGTTCTGCTTCACTTCGTATCTTGTGTATGATTTTTTTTTCTTTTTCTGTTAGCATTCTTATTGACGTTGATAGGTGATTTGTTGTCTTAAGCAAAATAAAATAAATAAAAATTGCTTTATTATGAATATTGTTCATTAATTCATTTTAGATTTTTATTTTTTTATTTCAATACGAAAAAATTTTTTTTTTAAATTTAAATCATGGTGATTCCATTTTCAAATACAAAATTACGTGTACCACCAGGTTTTCAAAGTCTTTTAGTTGGTTTATCAACTGAAATTCTTCGAAGTCAACCAAGAAATATTCATGATTTTGCTGCTAGTTATTTTGAAAAACTACTTCAAAGACGAGGTATGAAGTTTTTATTTGATTTAATTTTATTGTCCTTGACATTTTGTTAAAGATTATTATATAATCAGTTAGATTTTTTTATTTTTTCTTTTGTGAAATAATATTAAATAATCGATTATTTTCTAAATATCAATTAGAAGCAAAGCAATTAATTTGAAGTACATCAAATTAATTCCCTAGTATAAATCTGTAAAAATGTTTCTCTGACACTTGTAAATTATGCGATATCTATACTAATGGAAGACGTTAATAACAATCTTTTACATATTGAATGTCTATATCCGATATATGATCTTTATTCTATTCGTATATACAATATCATTTGCTGCAATGATCTCTCTGTCTCATCGTTGAGAAAAAGGGATGAATTGTCTTAATGGATCGTCGATCATCGTCAATGGATATACGCAAGCATATTTGACGTACGTCTCATTATTACCATCACTAACCATTCATATTGATCGTCTCATTATTTTTTTTTTTTTTTGTTTCTTGCTATGTATCGATTGCATTACTCTCTTCGTGATGTATTATCTCTGTCCACTAACGTTTTATCATCAATCGTAGATTCATTGAAGTTCGATTATTTTTTCTGTATATATTTGTCTATTCATGATAATGATGAGAGCTGCTCCTTTAATGAAATCATTCTTGACGACATATACAAACATATACATACGTCAGAAAAAAAAAAACGACATGTAAAAATATGGAATTAGTTGTTGTTTGTTTGTACTTACTCAATGAATACTCTTCAGCTTTTTTCTTTGCTTCCAATCAATTATTTATATGATGCAAAAGTAGCCAAAGAGAATAATAATAATAATAATAATCATCATCATGGAGTTCATGCAATTGTCTGTATATAGACAATACACAGATGCTCAAAATTATATTATCGATTGACTAAAATGTAACTGCCTTGTCTACGACTTTTTTTTCTTTTCTATTCACATATATACACATACAGAGATTAAGGGAATAGTAGTAGAATAAGAATGAGTAAGGTCTCAAAAGAATTCTAATTCATAACGGATCAAAATTAATCAACGAAATGAATAAGAAAACGACAAAGTGTGCGTATGTAAGAAGGCGTTAGTACCATTTGCCCTCGAGATGTAAAATTTGGTTCGAAATGAAAAAAAAAAAGCTTCGATTATTAAAACATTTTTTTTTCTCTCGCGAGCCGACCGACCATCTTCGGCTTATAAATGTATACCAAGCAATGGCTTATACGTATGATGAAAAAGTTCATCAATCTGATCGAAGAGAAATAATTTTTGCTGATTCGCTCGTTCTTTTTTCTACTAAAGAAATATAGAAAAATAGAAGAAAGAAAGAGAATAAGAACAGTTCTAATGACAAAACACTCTTATTACTATTACGACTGCAATCATAAACTAACTATTAGTAACAAGTAAGACGATCCGGAAAAGAAGAAGAACAAGAACAAGAAGAAGAAGAACAAAGAAAACCTAGAACGACAATAATACGAAATGGGTGCATGTACGTCAAAAGTAAAGAAAAATAAAGAAAAACATCTAAAAAATGACATATTAACAACAAAAAAAAATTCAACTTGTGAACAATCATCATCAATTAATCTTGATAAATTTGATAATGTACCATTTATTGATTCGGAAGAAAAATTAACAATAACACCACCACGTTTAACACCTTCAAAAGATAATGATGAACAAACAACAGTAAAAGATGATTTTGAAACAAATCAATCATATTCAAATATTGAAACAATTGATAAACTTAAACAAGAAGTTTTTACATATCTTCGTGAAAATATTTTATCAAATAATAATGAAAAACAAAAACTTATTGATTATATACATAAACGAATTATTGGTAATGTTGAAGAAAAAAAACTTATTAATGAATATATTGAAGAATGTTTTAATAATATTCAAGAAAATTATTTAATAGATAATGATAATAAAATAAAACAACGTTTAATGAATATTATAACAATTTATGTTGCATCACAAGCATCTGATAATTCATTTTTAAAAGCACTTTATGATAAAATGGGTTCAACACTTGATTTAAATTCATTAAATGCTGAAATAAATGAACATGAAATTGTTAATATAACAGTAACAAAACGTGTACGACAAGTTTTTCTTGATGATTCATCTTCATCAATACCAAATGAAAATTCATATACAAAAGATACTGTTATTCATTTATCAAATAATGAACATAACATTCCCGATGATTTACCTGATGATATAAAACGTAAAGCTGAACAAGTATTGAATAGCTTTAATAATGTTATTCATTCAAAACAACATTAGGATTAAATCCTGGTTTTTTTTTTCTTTCGTTTTTTACTAATTCGTGTGTGTGTGTGTGTGTTTTTTTTTCTATACGTATTATTACTTTTTCATAGGCAATATATTATTCGTATTATTGTTCGTCTTATACATATATTTATATATATATATATGTGTGTGTGACATTTAGATAAGGGGAATAAGTTTTACGAGAAAACTGTTTTTATATTACAAATATACTAATCAAGATTCATAGATAAGACTCGAATAAATGATTGATGATATAATCAAATCATATATTAATTATAGAAACAAAATTTTTAATTTGTTTTTAACATTTTAAGAAGATATTGTAGAATTTATATTTGTATTATATAAGAAATTTATAAATTGTGAAGATATTTTATCAAGAATAACAAGAAATATGTCATGAACAAATGTCCATATCATTTATCAAAATGTATATGAGACATTCTTGTGAGAACGTCTTTCATTATCAAACATTATTCAACTTCATATTTTAGATATAAATCAATCTTTACAAGGTTTTAAGCATAGAAATCTATTTCTAGTCATAATATACATTGAAATATTATTAAATAAAATCTTTTCATCAGATTTACTACTAACAGATTTTCAAAAGGAACATAATTTCCTTTTTTTTATTTCTTAAGAAATAAATACACACTTTTATAAATTAATTTCAGAAAATTATTTTTTAACTGTCACTCTTCTGAATATTCTTACTGTTCAAACAAAGAAAAACTACTATTTCATTCTATATACATCTTATTTATCAAACTTCGACAAAAAAAAAAAAATGATTATTAAGATAGATGACATGTATATATAACTAAGTTTAGTCGAAAAATCATTTCTTTTCTTTCTGTAATTTAGTTTTTGCCGACATACTGAAAGATCTTTTTTATAGTAATAGCATAACACATTCATTCTTCAAAAAAAAAAAAAGACTGTGCGGAAGTACTCTAGATTATTTCCACTTTGATTGATTGATTTCTTTCAAAATGAATTCAAGTAGATAAATCCTAAAAATAATTCATCCCTAGATAGACATTAGTATCTGTGAAGTATAATGTATCGTTTAGACCAAGGTCAATCATATTTACCTGACAAACAAAGTTCACTTGAAGATCGATATTATAATAATCGCAGTTTTCAAGTATGTTATTTTAATCAGGAAAAAAAAATATATCATTTTTAATATTGTAATTTTAGGAAGAATATCCTGTTAATGATCCGGAAGTAGTTAATGCAGCAACAAAAATTCAAGCAAAATTTCGTGGTCATAAGGCAAGACAAAATGTTGAAAAAATGAAATATGAAGTTAGTTGAAATAGTTTATATCTTGTTTTTTTATATTTTGTTTCACATATATTTATTTATTAGAATAAAGAAATGATTGATGCTGATCAACAAGAATTAGGTTATGGTCGTGAACAAACAGAAACACCTGATGAAAATCAATATCAAGTATCATATGATGAAGATCGCGTAATTCTAAATAATAGAAAAAAAAAACATATAATCTTTTTTGTTTTTGAAAATATTATTTAGAAAACATCACCTTTAATAAGTGCACGTTCAGAAAAACAAGAACAGAAGAGCGATGTAACGAATTTATTTATTTTGGTCTTTTAAATATATAATTAAATACTTTTTTGTAGACAAGTCCGAAACCAGGAACAGAAGAAGACAAAAAAAATCAAGAACAAGTAGAAGAAGAAGACGTTGAAGAACCATCACAAATATTTGAAGAAGAAGATATTGAAGCAGAAAAAGAAGAACAAGAAATTTCTGCAAGAACTCTTGAAGTTTGTTCTTTTGTTTTTCAAATTCTTTGAAAATATAGTTTTGTTATTTTTAATTTTACTAGGCAGGATTTCGTGGCTCTAAAGATCGAAAAAGTGCTCAACGAGAACAAGAATCACCTGGTAGTAAAAGTGAAACTGATCAATTATCTGACCGACGACAACATCAAGTATTTTGATTTTTTCTGAAACTAATTTTACTTTCAAAAAGATGATTTTAATATCGATAGATAATCATCATTAGAATTTAGACAAAAAAAAGAAAAGTATTTCTTCCGCATGACTTAAGCTAAATGAATTGAAGATAAATCAGATTTTTGTTTTCTATTTGATTGATCAGTGTTCAATATATATTTTATTTTAAGGAATTTGATAATCAAAGAACACCAACACCACCATCAACTCGTCGTAGCGAAAAAATCGATAGTGATCGTCATGATTTAGGTGGAAATTTAACTGGAGATGATCAAATTGAAACTGGTTAGTCTAGAATAGAGTTCGTCGAGTACAAAATTTTTGGACCGTAACCCGGAATCATCCTCCTAATTTCTACGCAAATTTTTTTTTTTTTATTCTGAATCTTCAAGTTTTTCTACAGATGCAAAATACTTTTTATCGATTATTTCTATGCCGAGACTAACATACCCTATACATTTCTCAGTCCATCTTGACGATGATCTTATAATAATCAAGTCATAATTGGCTGTAAATTCTAGAGTATAGCTCATTGAGTTGATTCCGTATTGCAATTTCAACTCGATCAATAAAAAAATTTCCAGACTTGCACTCACATCCAAGACCAACCCAACGGAATCTAGTTCAATGTGTTATTAGTTCAAAATAAATCTGTATATATGGAAATGATACATATCTATTATTGTCTTTCTCTTTTTTTTCTTTACTTTAGCATGATATAACATCATATCTAAGTAGAAAGAAAGAGTTCACTATTACTAACTGCATCAGTCCAATATTTTTCTTGATGTTATTGTTGCTGAGAAAAGATTTCGCCTATGGATAATGAAAAATGACAAGATAGCTTATCGATAGAGAAAGGAGAAAAAAAAACATAGAAGAACATCATCCGAATATAATTACAAATCATCAGTAGTGGATATTGTTTGCATTCTATGGATTCAGTAACTATTCTATACAGATAGATAAACAAAAAGAGAAAGCATCATTTCTCATTCGAGTTTGTGTACATAGATTTATTAATGTTAGCGAAACTAATGTAGGTGAGTGAGTAGAATCATATATTTAACAGTTTAAAATATTCAATTAGTGAGTATTAATTAAAACTATATCATTAACTAAATTCATCACATTTTCTTTTCGAAAATGTAAACTCTTTTTGTTTTTCTTTTACTATTATGCTAAATTTTTTTTGTCATTAACACAATTATATATAACATAGAAATCCTTTCACTATTTTTTCTTGTAATACTAATGCATTCCTAGTTATATGAGAGAAATGTAATATACAATTGTCTGTCAAAGAGATGAATTTGAAGCCGTTTCATTATCGAGGTAATTCATATGACATCAAGCACTATACTGTATTTGACATTCACTTTTGGCTGTTAAAGAAAATTGTTATATATACATATACCAACAAAATAGTAGATATTGGGTGATATTTGACAGTAAGATCGGTATGCCAGATGATCGATCAAATGAATTGTAACGATTTATCTTAGATAATAGAAGTTAGAAATGAGGTCATTTGTAAATCGAACTATCTCTATATTTGTCTTAATGTCAAATGTCAAAAGGTCATTATTTATGTTTTTTTTTATATTTAAGGTGAAAACGACGATACAGATCGACCTCGTCTTGAACGTGAACCAACACAATTAAGTGAAGATTTTGAACGACATACACAAGTTCCACGTGATTCAGATTTCGATCGAGAATTACAACCACATTTGATTAACGAAGACGACGATATGGATAATTCAAATCTTGAAAAAGCAGCTACACGTATTCAAGCTTCATATAGAGGTTATAAAACTCGTAAAGAATTAGGTTCCATAGGTACTCATGATCAACATCCATCATCAACATCTCCTCATACACAGGATGAATATGATAATGCTCATAATAAAAGTACGAGTATCATTGTTCAATACTTTATAATTTTTATTTATTATTTATTTTTAGTTCTATCACCATCAGCTGAATATAATAGAGAAGCAGAAATTGAAGATGATGATAATGCAGCAGCTGTTAAAATTCAAGTATGAAATTTTTTATAATAATCTAAATATTTAATTTGTTTTTTTTTGTTTCTTTAAACTTAGGCTGCTTATCGTGGATATCGAGCTCGAAAAGATTTGGAAAAATAAAAGCATGTTTTTTGATATAATGAAAACAATTCCACATAATTGACTAATTTTCGTGTGTTTATTTGTTTGTTCTCATTTGTTTCGTTTGCTTTTTGTAACTTTACAAATTTAATTCATTATGTTGCATGTGTTTACTTTTAATTTTTACCAACACTAGAGTGCTCTAATCTATATTTACTGTATCATATGTGTGTTTCACTTATGCCTTCGCATCTCATTAATTCGTATTCTTGTTTTTGCACGTATGTTTCACATAAATATAATTTTAATGTAAAATTAGCAAAAAAAAACAAAACTAGAACAAAACAAATATATTGATGAATATAGATCAAACGAAAAAAAAAGCAAAACAAAGCTTTTAAAATGATTAATTATATTTTGCAACTATTAACATTTGATAAATGTTCATTCAACATGAATAGTTAAAAATGACAATTATATCAATAGACATCTGCTTGTAACATTGGTAATAAATCATTTATTTGGATAGAAACGATATATATGAATGAATTGCAACTTTTTGGTACGATTGAAATTTTCGCTGTATTTCGCTAATAACTTTTGTTCTATTGAATTGATTTAGATTAATTTTTTTATATGTTACTGGTCTTTGAGCGTCTCCCACTGCCATGCAAAATTTCAGCTCTCTAGTTCTTACAGTCGCTGATTTATCAGGTATACACTGTCAAAAAATCGTATTTTACATGGAAAAAAGGATATTTTTGTAAGTATAGAAGAAAAGAGAAAAAATATAATGAATAGTCAATTTTGTGGAGTTTGAAATGCTCTATCAAATGATATATCTTTTGTATGTTTTCTTTTCACATCCATTCATCCCAAATACTTAATTACAGACACTTTGTCATTGTTTTGTAGAACAACCTTATCGTTCAATTTGCTTCGTTTGTGTGAAAGTGAAAGGAAAACGAAGATAGGCGAAAGAAAGACAACTGAAATACCAACGAAATGATAAAAGAGAATTCTTCTAAATCTCTTTTCTTTTCAATAAAAAAAAAATCCATTATTTCCTAAAAAATTACTATGTGAATAACTCCTGGAAACGGCTTGATTATTTTCGCTCAAACTTTTACTGTAGATAAACTTCTCAGAGTTGTATGTCCAGTAAAAAATTCTCTTATCATTCTCGAGATATTTACATTACATTATGAGTCGTCGAGAGATATTTTTTATAGCATTGAAATATGTCGGATCTCAATTAATATGTAGTAAAGTGTTGGGAAACTTTTCTTGATCGTACCAAAAAGTTGCAATTTACTCCTATATATATATATAGATTATTAATACACTTCGTTATGAAACCAAATAATCATTGTCTTATGATTTTAAACTTGTAGATTTTATAATATTTATTATTCAATATGAAGAGTGTTGATTCAATATTACATAAGATATGATATTTCACAAGGAAGAAATCATCACTAGGATAGTGTTATTTATGTATTTTTTCATATGTCAAGATAAATTATATAGGCTCGATATCAATTAAGTATGAGGTAACAATAGAATAGGTCTTTTGTCTAATCTACTATTTATATTTCAATTAATTCTTGACCCTGTATAAATAAGATATTAGAAATGTTATTGACTGTAATTATTCATAAATAATTTAAATGCTTGATATATTACTAGAAGAATGTTTCTATATCCTAATGTTCATGTTACGTATTAGTAAGTGTAACAAAAGTTATGCAATATAATATTCATAGAGTTTAAATGAAGTATAATTAAGTTTTACTCTCGATAGTGTTTGTTTGTTTTAAACTGAATATAAAATCTTCGAAGAAAAATATCAATTAATTTCTATTCATAATATTAATTATTTTTGTTTATTTCTTAATATCAATCATTGATTGTTGTAGTTCATATTGTTCGAAATTTTCACGATTAATGTTTAAATATAGAATTATTATTGTATTGAATAATTTTTACAGAAAAATTCTGTAACTCATTATAAATAAACGTTTTGTTGATATACATTCTTTACATAACAAATGACTATCCTCATAATATTAAGACAAGGATAAATATGTGACACGCGCGACCTTTGATTCTTCTTATTATTTTTTTGATTCCATAAGCAAAGTCGTGTTCTTGAATAAGTGAAATATTGTGGATTAGTTTGATCTTTTCTTTTTGAAATCATTGGAAAAAGTAATAAGATAGTAGATGATTATTAATAAAGAAGATACATGACGTGATAGATAATAATGAAAACAAATCTTTTATGTAAAGTATAAATACATGCAAAAAAAAAACAAAGCAGCATTTGATTAGTTCAATATCAGTCTATTCTTTACTTACCTTTGTCTCAATAAGAACAACTATAAATAAATCATTTGTTTGATTATAAAATTAAGAACAATAATCAGACATATATATATATACAGATATCATGGGTTCAAATTCATATTTATTATCTATTGTTGGTAACTAATTTAGTTCATTATTTTTTATTAAATAACAAAAATATATTTTAATAATTTATTTAATATTTAGCATTATGTTTTATTTTAATGCAAATTTGTTCATCGATAATAGTTACTGAACAATATTTACCATCGATCAAAATTGACAACAAAGATGTTGATGATCAGGTTTATATACGACAACGATTGGCTCATTTATTATTTCCATCAACATCTTTTAGTAATCAATTGAATGAAAGATATGATGATCAAGATTTTCAACCAATGAAACGTGAATCATTTGGTCGAAAACAGCATTGGGATGTTTTTTTTGGTAGACGTTAAGAAGTTTAGTTTTTTTTTAATTGTAATCATTGTGTCTTTATTTTCTTCATGAAAAAAAACGCAAGAGAATAAACAAGCTAACAATCTTAACGCATCATAAATAAATAAATAAATTCAATTCATTCTTTTCCTTTTTTTTTGTTCTAATCTTATTTTACCATATGAGGATTAATCAGATGTAATTGAAAATAGACATTTAAGTATCCATATGATTCAAATTGAATAAACAACCATTGGTAGATCGTTCGGTACAATGCGTATTATACCGACAATCAATCGGCAGTAGTTTGCTACTTAATCTTCTAACCTTCATTCTAGTATTGATATACCGGCGATAGTGCGAACAGACATATGACATGGATAGTATAATTCAATTACGACAATTTACAATTGTTTGATAATTATATGTGATTCCTTTCTGATGCACATAACAGAGAAAGAAAAATGCACTTTTATATTAATAGAAATATTATTTTTATTTTTTGCAATGGTTTATTGATTTATATTTGTTTCATCTTTTTAAAGAATCTTCAAATATATATATACAAACTAACTGATAAGGTTTATATTACATGATGATGATATAACTGACTTGTTGATTAAATAAATAATCAAAATCAAATTTAGGGAAAAATACAAATATTTTTCTTAACTATTAGCGTCGTATTCATTATTATTTTATAGGATATTTCAGTTACAATATATATGAAGATTAATGTTGTTTTATTACAATTGATAGGAAATAAAGAAAACATTGATAACTATCAAAAAATGTTGACAGGTTGATTATTGTTTCCTATGGGACTCTACTTTTCAGGCTAGTGTAATTTGAAGAGCTTATAACCTATGAAAATTGCTGAAAAACAATCGTTTCGAGAAAAAAATTCAGGGAGGTAATCAGTTGATCTTGACAATTTCGTCTATTATCAAAGACAAAAATTATCCATCTGATATTATCAACAAAAGAGAGAAGGTATATCGTATTAAATTTCTTTAAGAATTTACTTTTGATTTTTATTGACTGAATATTTAATCATTTAAATATGTATAAGTGAAGAAAAAAAACAATGACGGAAAGGGAATGATGGTCACAATAGATCAGATACGTAGATCTCTCTGACATATAGGAACAGTAAAAAATATAGCGAAGCGGAAGAAATAGAAACTTTAAAATAATTTTCTCTTCTTCAGCTATCTCTCTCTTTAGTTCTACTATCTTTTTACTATTCCTATATGTCAGAGAGAGTACGTGTCTGATCTGTTCTATCCATCTCTTTCTTCATTTTCAATCGATAAAAATCACAAAATCAACTTCTGAAGATGATACTCTCATTCGACAGTGAAACATCAAAGAACTCCACACATAAAACGAAAGAATTTATTTTCAAATTCAATCGAGCACTATTATTACGTCAAGTGTAGAAGGTTTTCGTCGACCTGAATCCGGTCAACCACAGCCCCCGAGCCCGAACTCGAAGTTTTTTCCGTCAATACCTGGTACTCTTCATGTAACGGATCAAGATTTTAGCTATTTATTCGCTATTCTCAGAAAAAAATTCAACATGCAGTTATACCTTGTTGCCGTATGTCTCATATGTAGAGCAATCGATCCACAAAAACGTAATCGGACCCGAGAAAAAATAAAAGGTTGAACTCCAACCCAGTTCTGGGAGGACCTACAGCTCTCTAGTGTGTACTATCAATTTCAGATACAATTTTAAAATCTTGCTTATTACCTTAATATTTTTAATAAAGCCTCTTGTTTATCTTTGTATCATTTGTTTGATATCAATAATACTTCAATAGAAATTTAATTAAAAATGTAAAAAAGAAAACCATAATACATACGTTTATAAAATCTTATTATTAGTTTTCGAATGATAAAAAGAAAAAAAACAGAAAAATATCGTAACTTTAAGAAATATGTCATTTTCTAACAAGACACATGTGGTACATAAACATGTATTTGTTTACGAGTGCGAGTTGTTGGAGTACATGGCAAAATGTTCGGTGTTATTGTTGTTGCTGTTGTGAGTGTTTCATCATCATCTTCTTCTTCATAGTATGGATTAGTTGGTGTTGTTCGATGAAATGTTTCTGGTGATATTCGTTGCATATATTCAAAACGTGATGATGAAGATAATTCATCATATGTTTTTGCTCTACTAAATAATCTTCGTTTCTCATTAGAATAAATATAATATTTTGGAGTTTTTGATAAATTATTTGGATGAAAATAACCAGTACTTGGTGATAGAGATATACGATCAATAGTAAAAGGATTTGCTAAATGATTCATATCATCATTTGATAGATCTCGTTCAGAAGATATTGAACAACGTGATACAGATCGAGCAAGTGATCGATAAACATCAAAACCTGGCTGTTTTGAACTTTTATTATGTTCACTTTTTCGTCGTTTCAATTTTGATGAATTTGTTGGTGTTGCAGATAAAGATGATGTTCTTGATAAAATAACAATATTTGATGGAATACGATTTGTTACAACTAAACGAAAATCACGATAGGGCATAGGTGATGATGGTGATTTAGATGAAAGATAGTTTCTTGTATTAATATTTGCATTATGATCACGTAAATGTAATCTATTAAAATCACATATATCAACACGAGTTGGTGAACGTCGTGTATTCAGTAGCATTTTTCTGAAATATAATATAGAATAAAGTCTAAAATTTTAACAAAAAAAACCACACTTCCAGATCAAAATAAGAAGGAGGTACTGTTATCATAAACGAGATGAATCTTCTAATTGATTAATCGTGTTTGAATTGGGATAATCGACATTATGTAGAGCCGAATGCATTATAAATATCTTGAAAAGAGTTTGTGTTTCTTTTATACTATACACTCTTTAGAATGGGTATTTCTTTATAGTTCTGCTAATTTTTTGTAACTCTTACAAAAAAAAAAACATGTATTTTTTATTCGAGGTAAAAAGATATCTGCCCCAAGCATTATCTACTGCTTCAGCTCGATCGAATATAGATAGCATCAAGGAGAATTTGAAGCCTCTTTCGCCATTATGATTTCAATATCTGATAGAAAACAGCATCTGAGTACCTTGAGTCTATAACAACTTTTACTCTACTCGTCAAGATCTACCAATTGTGAAAATTTTTCTGATGAACCGTTCTTTAGAAACTTCGAAAAGGCGAGAAGGATACTCTTAATGATTTGGGAGACTTTTCTCGTTAAATAATATTACTGTCTTATGACAAAAAATATGTGCCGAATGGTAAATCTTAATATTCATTCTAATGTCATATAGATAAGATGAAAGTAAAGATAAATAAAAAATAATGCTAATTATTTATATATTTTGATTCTAACATTTATAAAATAATATTTCTTCTTCTCATTACTTGTATCGACGTAGTTTGAATCTTATTTTAACAGGCGCACATTAGTTTTAAATTACAAAATGCAACAGTAGTGTTAGATGATGTACACATTAAAACAAAAAACAAATAGAAAAATGATCATTAAAAAAAAATACAAGAAAAGAACTAAATTATCGATGAGTTAATAAAGAATTTTTCTTTTCTATCACTATTACTAGTTTATTCATACTTACTCTACCATTAAAATATGATATAAAAATATTGTTTGTCCTTTTATATACACTGACCTTGTTCTATTTATTTCTATCCAAATAGAAGACAGAATACAACAATACATTTCTCAATAAACGAGAAAAAAAAAAGCGAAACTTAAAATACCATTAAAGTTAAACATTTTCTTTTTTGTCAATAAAATTGCCTACACATTATTGTTGTCATACAATTTTTTTTTGTTTGTACATAAGCAATAGAAATAATTGTTTTACAATTTATAAGAAAAAAACACATGAAAGTCAATGAATTGTTCTTTTCTTTTATTTGAGAAGAGGACTAGAGCATAGTCATCATAAACAAGAAAAAAAAAAGCATTGACAATTTTTTGTTGTTAGCAAAGCATACGTGCATAATTATGACGCATACGACCAATACGAACACCTTGATTCGGACTAACAGTTAATAAAGTACCAGCTCGTAAACCAGAATTAATTGTAAACATAGCACGATTACGTACAACATTTTCCGAAATATTATTTGGAAATGTATAATGTTTAATTATATGATCAATAATTTGTTTTGAACTAACACCTATTTTATCTTTATCTAATTGACATATAGCTTCACGTACCATATTACCAAAAGCATGACGTACAAGATGATATATTGGTACTTGATTTTTATTTGAATTTGGATTAAATTTTGGTACAAATTGTATAGCACATGTGTCAGTATGATTTTTATTAGTTTTATTTGATTGTTTTGTTTGATGATTTTTTGATCTTGTATTTGATTTAGATTTATTTTTTGTATTAGTTATATTTGTCTTATTAGCAATTGTTGAATGTTTCGATTTTGAACGAACATTTGAAGTTATCTAAAAATCAAATGTGAATTCTTCTATATGTTCTTTGTTTAGTGTATAGAACCTTTTTCTTAGTAGTTGATTTTAATTTATTTGTTGTAGTTTTAGTCTTTCGGGATTTCGATTTTGAACGTGTTTTAGTAGTTTTTGGAGAACTCTAAACTCATTTAATAATTTTCTTTTTTTTTAAATTAAAGAATAAACTTAATCAACATACTGCTAAAAGTGTGTTTGATGCTGCATTCTTCATTTCTGATTTGTTATCTATGATGATAATTATTATAATATTTTGATTGTGTTGTATAAATAAAAATTACTTGTATCTGAAGGTGATTGAATAACATTTGATTTATTACTTAGAAGTGACTACAATTGTTTAAAATTTAATAAATAAATAAATAATTTAATTAATAAAATAAACATACAGATTTTGAACTAGATCGTTGTGTTGTTTCTTGTTTGCTTTTTGATTTATTTCGTCGAGACTATAGAAAATTATATACTAACGAAGAAACATCTTCGATTTGATATTATGACTACGAGTAGATCTTTGTGTGATTAAAAACCACCGAAAAGAATTCGAACTCATAGTCTCTATTGATGAAAAGTTTGATTATTAGTTCTATCTATAGGCAACATTTCAGAATAAACTTCTTCTCTTATATCTGAATCCTTTTAGATTTTTCTTAATCTTATTACTGAGATCTACTCATAGTCGTAATATCAAATCGAACGTCATCCCATAGTTGAGAATGCTTCCTCGTAATACTAAAATACTGTTAGCGCAATGTGAAACACGATCTAGTTGGTGTTGCTAATCACAGGGAGATTGTTTTATTTCCTGTATCTTGGGACATGTTTCTTTATCTTTCAGAGATATAATAAGAAAGTAGTTAATACATTGTAACGAGCCATTATTGATATACGGTCTCCGATCGCATATCAACAACGTCTGTCACAGTCTATAATGGCCTCTACAGGATTTCTGCCTAAAGCTTATCGATTCCAAATGAAATCAAAGAATGATGTGAAATACTTGTATTCAATGTGTGTGACTAGATGATAAGAATAAATGTTAAAGAAATAGTGAAAAAAACAAACAAACTAACAAACCATATGTGATGTTGATGGTGTTTGTTTAGTTGAATGTAATTTTGCAGTATCATTTTTTGTTTCTTTCGATAGAATACTACTAACAGACATTGGTTGTTGATTTGATTTACTTTTTAAATGTATATCACTAAGACTAGATATATTTCCTGTCGAATAAATATCATTAATAGTTGATGATTTTGTTAAATTAGCAGCTTTTTTAATAAGATCTTGACAGAAACGTAATTTTTCTTCTTTTGTCATTCGCTCAAATTTACCAGTACCGATTGTCATAGTTAAAGACGTTCAAATTTACAATGTTTATTTTAAAAGAAATATAATAATTAAAGAAAGATTACAAAAAAAAAAAACGACAATCGGACACAAAATAATGAATTAATCGATACTATTTGAACGCGCCAGACATTTTGTCTGTCATTACATGGCGCCATGTATTTATTATTAACTAACTAAACTCAATATTACATTAATTTTTATTTATTCTTGAAGTGAATCTACTACAGCAAACAAGATATATATACATATGAAAAAAATATAATATTTGCATTCAGTCATTCAGATGTGAAAAATTGAGCTGTACTAAAATACAAAATCAACCTGAAAAAAATACTTAGAATTCAATGTCGATTCTTAGACTAATAAAATAAAACTCCCATTTTTTTTGGGACGCCAATGATGAATACAAAGAATAAGTACAAAAGGTGCATACTTTGATAGAATCGGAACCTCACTAATTGTCAGTACTGTAGTAAATGCCAATACGTATAATCACTGTCAATTTTTCACTAGAACTACACATCTCTAGTCTTGCACATTGTTGTTCAATGTGTTTAATAGACTGACAATATGTTAATTTCTATGAAGGATACTCATTGAATAATAAGTTATTTGTAACCTATTTTGTGTGATTATAATACGATATAAATAGATCGTGAACTAATGCCCTCTAATGTCGCATGGTGCCAACGATATAAATCCAATATTTATCTATTTGCATAGCGAATGTTCTACTTTTTTCTTCTTTTCATTGTTGTCTCTTTCGGCTGGTATTTTTCAATCAATTTGAATAAATAAATGTCTTTTTTTCTTTATTATTATGTCTGAAGAAAATATTGAAGGTTGTCCAAATTGAACATAACTAGAGAAAATTATTTATTCATGATTTAATGAATTGTCAAGTAACAAAAATTAATGGTGATAGACATGAGCGTATGTTAAAACCAGTTTTTTTTAGTTTTCATTTTCATATCTGATTTATTTATTTAGTTGAAAAGGATAGTAACGAGGACGATAATGGTAAAAAATATTTGATTAGTTGTTAGTTTTATAGAAGATGAGTAAGATCAATATGAAGAGGAGGTATGAAATAATTTCAAGACAAATTTCTATATAATAAATTTAGAAAACTTCCGCCTTTCGATATAATAGCATTAACTGTCAGAAAAATGACAAGTTGTTATTACTACTGAAAGGATATTTTCTTTACTATCGTATTCCATGAGGACATACTTCATAGAATTATTAAAGGTATGAGGTAGGTGTTAGTTTTCTCGTCACATACTTATACCCAAAAACAAAATGGAATTGTCTTATGACTCTCCATTACAGACCTTAGCAATCGAGATTAACGGCACTGAACGATATTAATAACAAAACTTAGAAGATTCTTGAACCTTCCTTGAAATTTATATAACAGGAATACATTATTCAATATTCCAAATAACACAGTTTTTGATTTCCTACAACTATCATATGGTATGAACTGATTAAGTTCTATCTTTCGGAAATAATGAATATCAGTGTTTCTGAGTTCATCGAGATACACATAATAAATCGTTAGGATATATGTTGTAGACATAACGAATGTGTATAATAGACTTATTTGTTCATTAAATAAATGATTAGAATAAAAGAAAACAACGTTTGCTGACAATCGATTATCGTCTTTTAGAGATTTTGCATATTTTGTATTAGTATAATAAAATTAAAGAAGACGTGTAAGTTCTAAATTTTAGTCTCAATGGGGTTGCACTTGCAATCTTTTTCTTTTTTGTTACAGATTGAGACTAAAATTAGAAACGACTTGACGATTTGATCAAATTTATGAATATTTTCAAAGATCTTTTGTAATTTACTTTTTTTTTTAAGAATAAATGTTATTTTTCATTCTAGGATTTTATTTAATAATTCTCAAAGACAATGTGATTCATAATAAACAACACATTTGATATGTCCTCGAAAAAAACAAATAGCAAATATATGAATCATTATGAATGACTCAATATTTCATAGCAAGTAATCCCGTGACTATGGGAGACATCTGGAAGTTTCTTACCATAAGAATTAACTTATATATATATATATACATAAGAAAAAGTCTCATATTAGTTTCATTCATATGTCATAAAGTAAATGCGTACAGAAACTTTTCGACTTCTTTTTGCATTGATCTCATAATAAAAAGAAATACTTTATTAATTTTAATTTTGCGGAAATAAAAAAAAAATCAGTTAAAAAGTTTGTATAAGTTTAAATAATTTTTTTTCTTAATTTTAGATAATATAAAATATTTGATTCTTTTAATTAGAATAAAAATGCATATAACAGTAGCAAAATTTGGTGGTTCTGAAAATGTACTTACAATTGATATTGCATCTGATCTTTCATTAAAAGATTTAAAAGCTGTTATTGAAGCTGAATCTGATTTTGGCATAAAAGCTGATGAAATGAGTCTTTTTTATGAAGGTTAATATAAAGAATATTTTCTTAGTTTATTTTTTTCAATTATTAATTTAATTATTTTTAGGAAAATTTCTTGAAGATGATAGTAAAACACTTGCACAATGTAAATTGAATGATTATGATTTAATTACTTGTCAACGATCAACACGTATGTTAACTTATCTTAAATATTAAAATAAAAGATAGACTAGAAAAAAATTTTAATTACAAAATCAATTTCATTGTATGTTCGATTTTTAGTAGGAAGTATTGAAAAAAAGGTTAATCCTTATTTATTCAACGATCCTATTGAATACACTAATCAAACATCATTGCTCTACACTAATGAAGCTAACGAAAGTGTTAGGAACATGTAGTTATATTGCATTATTAATATACTTAGGGGATACCAATAGTAGCGATTCTAGCGGATAAAATGAAAGCAAATATCTGAAGAAATTCTCTCGTAAGATAATGAATTTTTTAATCGAAGATTATCTGAAAAATGTTTTCGAACAAATCGATTATGCATTATTAAACAGGACTATTAGCTTAAATACTTACTGGAACAAAAACTTGATTAACTCTTTCCCATAGACTTTTATACGTCAAATGAATTGACTCTCGTCTAAATCAGTCGCCTATCGGAAATCATTGAATCAGGAATTTGCAGCTTGTATCAGATGATTAATTAATGTTTTATTATAAAAATAGACGTCGGTTTAACAATGAGAGAAAGATACGTTTAGGCGCTACATACAATAGTGAACAAAAGTCTTCTACACTCTCCGCATCTCGATTGTTTAAATGGAACGAGAATTATGATGAATGGTAATCGATTGTACTTATTTGCAGTTTTAAATTGATAATTCTAAAAACAGAACTTTATGGATCGGCGCATTCGTCATTGTTTAGTAGTTTGTTCTGATTATCTATCATATTAAGTTCATTGACGCTTCTTAGAATTTTAAACTATCCACTAGCAATAACTCAGTGAAGCGAGCTAAAACTTGCACATAAGTTTTGTCTATAGTTGAGCATTAATACTTACAAGTTTCATTCACCCACTTTCTACTAAATAAAAATATCAGCCGAATAATCATCATATTGATGCAGAGACGGTAATCTTCAATTAAATTGTCAGATCTTTTGACTACAAAACAAAGCGCATGGATTGTAGAGAACTATGGGCCCAGATTTTTGTAGACCTGAATCGGTTCGGATCCAAACCCGAGATTTTTTTCATCAATATCTGACACCCTTCGTGTACATGAACAAGTGAAGAATCAAGATCTCAGCTATTTATTCGCTATTCTCAGAAAAAAAACTCAACGTACAGATATATCTTATTGCTGTATTTCTCATCTGGGAAGCAGCAGATCCACAAAAACGTGTAACTGGACCCGATCCGGACGAGAAAAAGCAAATGATTTTAATAGAATTCACTTTTACTGATTTAGTTAGAAATGGTTCAATGCCAGAAGCAACAACTACGTTACGTCGAAATATGGACGGTATGTTTTTTAATATTTCTTCCATAAAAAAATCTTATTTTTCGAAATTCATTCATTATAGCACGTGATCCTCGACAACTTTTTGAAATGTTACGTTCTAATTCTGAAATGCTTCAACAAATTCGTCGAAATTCTCCTCAATTAGTCGATGCAATTCAACGTGGAGATTTCAGTACGAAAAGAAAAACAAATATATATATATTTCAAAACTAATCAAATAAAATATCTTTGTAATCTAATTTTAGATAAATTTATGGAACAAATAGCTGCTCAATCACCTGAAATGCAACAACGAATGGAACTTGATCGACTTGCTAGTCTTGATCCATTTGATCCGGAGGTACAACGTCGTATTCATGATATTATCAAGTAAAGAAAATTGTTTTTTAAAAAGTAAATTACATTTAAATATTCATATTTCAGTATGCAAAATGTTCAAGAAAATATGGAACATGCTGTTGAACATGCACCAGAAGTATTTGGTCATGTTGCTATGCTTTATATTGTGAGAAAATTAAATCAAGTAAAAAAAAAAAACGAACTTTTTCTCTTTGATTTAGAATTGTAAAGTAAATGGTCATGTTGTTAAAGCATTTGTTGATTCGGGTGCACAAATGACAATCATGAGTAAAGCATGTGCAGAACGTTGTGGAATAATGCGTCTTGTTGATCGACGTTTTAGTGGTATTGCAAAAGGTGTTGGTACACAGAAAATTCTTGGACGTATTCATCTTGGTTTGTTTTGTTATTTTTTTTGTATTATTTATATATATGTATATTGATTTTAGCACAACTTGAAATTGAAAAAAATTATTTTGCAACATCATTATCTGTACTTGAAGATCAACCAATGGATATGTTATTAGGACTTGATATGCTTCGACGTCATCAAGTAATTTATTTGTCAAAAATAATTTTCTTTTCAATTAAATTATTTTATTTCTTTTAGTGTGTTCTTGATTTACATAAAAATATTCTTAGAATTGGAAATGTTGTTGAAACAAGTTTTCTACCTGAATCTGAATTACCAACTCATGCAAGATTATCGGGTAATACACCAGATGTTGACGATTATGAATTCGATCGACCTGGTAAATATTTAAATATATTTTTTTATAAGTATTGATATATTAAACAAAGGAAAAAAAAACCACGGATTAACATTCCGAACAATTTCAACAGACATTTAAACTTCACAAAGCTTAAGAATATTCGCTCATCTTTGTTTACCATTTCGGATACAATCGATCAGATTGAAATCATTACTACAGATACTGAGCAGGCCTCGAAACGGGTCCGGCGGACCACCCGGCCTGATGATTTTATCGTTTTCTGAGATTTGGCTCACTCCTGAGGGAAGATACGGGGGAAGCTTCTCCACATTATTCCCCCTTGGTCATCACTTTTTATAAAAGCGGAAAAATATGAAATAGCTGCCTTATGAGAAAAAAAAATTTTGTAAACGAATTTTTTTCCGGGTCGGGCCATAAAAAAGTGGCTCGATTTCGAGGCCTGGAATAAAGAGATACGTGCTCAAGAAAAAAAAATTTCAAGACGATTTTCCATGGGTCCGCATTCTGGTACATTACAATCTCTATCAAATTTTATTCGATCCAGCTTAATTTTTTTTTAGAAATACTTCAGAAGTATTTTTGAGCATTTTCTTATATTTTTAACAGAGAAATATGTAAAGGTTTGGCGTATAAACTTAGGTATTGACTTCCAGAGTCCTATCAATCCGTTTAAGCTTACATTGAACCAACAGGCAGGTTTCGGTGATAATAGCAATCTAATGACTCTTAGAATATCCTGAAAATTTCAGCCAAAAAAAAAGAACATTTCTTCATCGAGATATTGAATTTTTAAAAATAGTCCTTTGTCAAAAAATTTCGAGTTCACTTGAAAATTTCAATAACTCGACGAAGAAATATCCTAAGAGTCATTGAACTTATCTATAGACAAAATTGTGGATTAATAAACCGGTCATAACTTGATGCAGAAAGCCAATGGAACGAATTCTGTTAGGCTTTTGATATTCTCATTGAGATCCGTCTATAAGTTTCATTAAATACAAATTTCGTCTTTTGTCGAAAATCCACTCTGAAAGTCATCTTATCCCACTTGAAGACTTTCTATGATATAAAAAGCTATAAAGCCTGTTGTTTCAATTCTCATATCAAGATTGAAAAATCTTTGAATGATAATTTTAAAAAAACAAACTATTGTATTTGTCTTAGAAAGTTCAATGCAATCGACAAAAAGAATTCGATGCAAGTAGTATGCTATATATGTTTGTAATTTTCCACTGTAACTAGTTTTTTTTTCTTGTCTAACATCGATTGTTTTTTGTTTTAATGATTCTAATTCATTTAAATAATAATAATTTTGAAAATAATAATATTCTTTTTCTTGTTTAGCTGATAGTCATCATGAATCTCGATTGGAACAATCAACGACATCAACATCAACATCAACATCATCTTCTTTTCCAGAAGATTCAATAAAACATATAACAAAAAGTGGATTTACACGTGAACAAGCTATAGAAGAATTAAGATTATCAAATGGAGATGCAACTAAAGCACTTGTTTCATTGATGACAAAATCTTTATCAGTACCAAAACGAAAACGTTAATCGCAATTCTTTTTTTTTTTACATGCATATATTGTTATTCTAAATCCAGAAAAAACAAAAGCTCATATCTTTTTTCTGTTTGGGTTTTTTTCTTGTCTTCTCTTGCTTTAAGCAATTTGCTTCAAATAAGGTCGAATAAATGTGCTATACACATATATATATATATGGGGAGAAATGTAAAAATAAAATATTTATGATGATGAAAAGATTAATGAA